CATTTTTTTAAATATATATACATAAACTATGAAACCGCGTTTGTTACTTATTAGGATAATTTAATGCAACTGTAGCCCTGGGTTGGCTTTGCATACGAATTAAAAATGGAATATGTTAAGGAATCAGTGGCCTGTTTCAACAGAAGCGTCATTTGTTTTACTTGTAAACTAAAAATTTGTGATTTATTTATTTATTTATTTTTGTAGGTATAAAATGTGGGGTTGATAGCATGATGCAAGATGCATGCATTATTTATTTATTTATTTTTTAATAGGTTGACTGCATCTAGTTTCTAAATGGACTGAGCCCACAATCTACTGGATAAGTCCCGGTGCGTTGATGGACTGAGGTCACAGTTTACTGGACTAAGCCCAATGTGATGTGTGATAAAATTGGGCCATTCATGGACTGGAAAGTTACCAAATTAGAATTCAACTGAAAAGCCCAAAAACTCAAGTTAGACTCAGCGGTCAGTTCCAACATTCCCTGATGGTAACAAGAATGAAAAGAGTTTTTAAGGAAAACAGAGTCTATTTAATTATCTCAAAAGAATGAAAATGAGCATTTTATGGAAGGAAAAAAAAGACAAGAAGTTTTTTAGAATAATGATAATTGAAACGATAAAATGAGACGAAAACAAAGGACAAACATGAGGTAGCAACCAACTCAATAAGGTATTGCTTTAAAGAGAATTTTACATAATAGACAATCAGCAAATCATGTCATCAATCCCATAAAATCATCCCATATATTCATCTTTCATATCATCACTCAATTGTTTCTTGTCTTGAATATTCGGAGGTGGTCCTTAAAGCTAAAGTGATATATATTAAGAAGAGATAGCCACCACATATTTACTTTTATTAATATTTTTCATGACAAAGAAGGCGACTATAAAAGGGGCAATAGCAATATGATGAGTCATTGGACACTATATATTGGCATCAATTCTTCCAAGCGGCTTCTCTATGTGCGCGTAAAAGTCAATGCCTACTAAAACTTTATTCATATTCAGAATGGTTGTATTATATATGCTTCTTCGAGTTTAAGATTTCAAATTTAACTTTTTAATATGGGAAAAAAAATTTTATTCGTGATAAAGAAGGCAACTATAAAAGGGACAATAGCAATATGATGAGTCATTCAATACTATTGGCATAAGTTCTTCCAAAGTGGCTTCTCTATGTGCGTGTAAAAACCAATGCCTATTAAAACTTTATTCATATTCAGAATGGTTGTGTTATATATGCTTCTTTAAGCTTAAGATTTCAAATTTACTTTTTTAATATGAGAAAAAATATTTTTATTTCACAATTTAAATTATATTAAATTATAAAATAAAAATTATATATTAAAAAAGAGATACCTAAAAACTCATCTTTATTTAATAATATAAAATATATAAAATGATATGACTCAAATTATATAATATTTTTTTGTACAAAAAATGTAGAAGTTGAACCAATAGATTCCCTAATGATATAGATGCACAAGGGCACATCTGTTGAGATCAAGGCTGGGCAGAGATCCAACAAACTTTGGTCCCATCCAATATGCTCACCGAATTCTGCTCCCATGTCCAACATCACACCAACTTTTTTCTAATGATTTTCTTTTTATAGTGTGTATGAGTTGACGAAAATAAAAAGAAGAGAAGAGATAATTTTTTTTAATGAATCAACATATAAGAATGATTTTACTTGAACAATATTACATAAAGTTAAACACCATGAAAATCTGATTTTTATTTTTTTTAAATATTATAATTTAATTGATTAAAAAAGTTTTCATCCTCAAAAAAGGAGGAGAGCAGAACCCTAACCGCGGCTTCCCTTCTTCTTGTTCTCATTTTCTTCCTTTCTTCTCCTTTTGACTCTTTGTTTTTCTCTTCTTTTATCATGATTTAATTTTATCTTTTAGGTTTTTTTTTTGGCAAGGGTTCTTGCCTCCCCTTTAAGGTTGGCTCATGTGGGAGATCATTCTTCCAAATATAGTTCATATGAGTTTTATCATTATTTAATATCCTTCTCACTGAAAATTTAGAATTAAAGATATGGTCGATATGTGTTATGTTTCATTAAAATGCTTTTTGCAGTAAATTATCTCAACAATTACCTTTTCATCTTTTGGTGTTAGTAAATTATACTGATTTGCAGCTTCACTATAAGATCAAGAACTAAGTTTGATTATAATATCTATATATCTATTAGATTATTATATTATCATATACTTAACAAAGTATTTTATGCTTTTAGGGTTAGGTTCTAAGTGCTTTTAGGGTTAGGTTCTAAGTGCTTTTAGTGTGTTACATTGAATTGGTTTGTAACCCTTGCACGTTTTTATTATTGATGAATTAATTTATTTTTACTCAACAGAGAAAAAAACCATCATCCCCTCTATTTTTTGAAACCAAACATACTCTTAATTCTTGATAAAAAAAAAATTTAAGAAAATTAGATAAATTTCTATCATTGATAAAATTCAAAGGTGACAAAAGATAAACAGAAGCATGCATTAAAGCTTCTACCTTTTTCAGATTCTGAAGCTTCTATCATTCTCCATCATTCTTCTGGTATTTTTTAAAATTAAAAATAATGTAATTTCTCATAGAAAAGAAAAGAAAAAAGGAAGTCTGGTATTGTTGGGCTTTGATTGTAGGCCAGGCAGTTCGGCCTGCCTTTCTTGACCCTCCTGGCACCGGCACCGCTGACTGTATTTTACAAAGTATAAAGTCTAAACCAGACCCGTCCAACATTTTAACAAATTTTTAACTCCTTTTATTTATATATTTTTGTTTCTAAATTCTACATCACGTTCGAGTGATTCAGAAGAAAAAGAGTCAAAAATTACTGGTAAAATTTGTCCCTTTTTGGCGTCTCTCTGCCAAATTTTCCTCGAAGACTTCAGGGTCAGGGCTGTTGGGAGGAGGAAGAGCACCAAGAAATGGTGGTCGTTTCTCAAGAAGCGATCCATCACCTCCGGGCATTGATGGATCAAGGTTTGTTTTCTTCACCCTTAATTTCACCTTTAATAAAGTTTGATTCTTGGGTTCAGAAAAGATCTTATTTTTAAATTATTTTGTTGCAGTTGATGAGTCTTTGAGGAGAACATTTCAGGTACCCGTTTTCAGCCTTCTTGTTTTTCCTTTTTTAGTTTGGTTTATCTGATGCTTAACGTCAGTCAACCGTCTTCAACCATGTTTTCCTTTTTCTTTTGGGTTAAGGGAAATGCTTGAATTATATATTTCTAGTGCTGTTATTATTATCTAATGTTGAGGATAATGTCAACCACATGTCGCTTTTTTGAATGTGATCCTAAAAATTCTGGTGAAATACTGAAATGTATCATCTCTGGAGCTTATTTCAAATTTGGATACTAATTTAGCTTCTGGGTATCTCAAACTTGGCGGTGGTACCATATTCTTTTTGTTGGTTTGCTTGGTATAATTTGGAATTTTTTTCTTTTTGAGAAAAGCCAATTGTATTCATTAAAATATTGTCCAAGGTATAATTTGGGATTGGTTGGAAGTTTTGATCTAATGTGATATAAGTTTACATTAGGCACTCAGGTCAGCTAAGAGAGTGAATGGAATTTGAGAGAATTGGAGTGAATAAAGATATTATATCTGGCTTCTTGCCAAAAAAATTATCATTTGATGTGAAATGTGGGATATTTGATGAATATTTGATAGTTTGGACATAATGCGTTGCCAAGTTATGTTTTTTATGCTATTCAACAATAATTGTTTTGACATGCAGAATGTTCATCAAGGTTATCTACCTGAAACATTGTTTCGTTTTCTAAAAGCAAGAGAGGGGAATGTTTCCAAAGCCCACAAAATGGTTAGTTACAATTGGAGTTGTTTAAATTCCAAATGAAAAAAAATGAAGAGAATGTCAGTTTCTGTGATGAAAGCATTTCGAACATAATCTCTTCTTTTATGTATGAATTGACACCTGTGTCACATTTCAGTTGGTGGACTGCTTGAATTGGAGGGTGCAGAACGAGATTGACAACATTTTGGCAGTAAGTTTGTGGTATTCTGGATTGCAATGTCTTTTTTTCAATTAGTTACTTCTCCAGTAGTGAACTATCATGTCGGTGCTTGTCCATGCCACTTTATGTGCAGGCAAGCCATTGAAATTGAAGAATTTGGAGCTTGCTTTTTTGTGACTACATGTTTCGTTGTTGAGCCTTGAAGTGGACTGAAACTTGTTCCTTGAAGTGGACTGAAATTTGTTCCTTGAAGTGGACTGAAATTTGTTCCTTGAAGTGGACTGAAATTTGTTCCTTGAAGTGGACTGAAACTTGTTCCTTGAAGTGGACTGAAACTTGTTCTCATGTTTTTGTTTTGTGTGTTTCGTGATGCCTTGTGTAATGCTGGGTGCTTGCATGCAGATAAGGAATTACCCCAGTCATGCATTCCTTGCTTTTGTACTATTGATTTTATTCTTTTGGTCTTAGACTGAGCCATGTGGTGGTTTATGGCAAATATAACACCATGTATAGTTAGAGCCATAAGCATTAATGCTTTTCTTGTTTGCTACATTGTGTCAACAGAAACCCATAAATCCTACCGAGTGTTACAGAGCAGTGCGCGATTCTCAGCTAATAGGGATGTCTGGCTACTCAAGAGAGGTGTTTACCTTTTTTCAGAACAGTTATCTGTTATGGTGCTTTTATTTTCATTCCTGCCATGTTGTGCTTCGTGGGAACACAAAAGATGATTGAATATATCTATTGAAACTATATATTTTTTTATGGGCATGGCATCCCCCTCACCTTATGTTCTTTACCTATCTCCATTCTCTTCAGGGCCTTCCTATCTTTGCTCTTGGTGTTGGGCATAGCACCTTTGACAAAGCATCTGTAAGCTTTATGACAACTAAGACGAATGCCGTCATTTTATTTTCCTTAAAAGTCAAATTTTGATTGGTCTTTATTTACCTTTCCTCCTCTTTTCTTTTAGGTCCATTGCTATGTACAATCACACATTCAAATCAATGAATATCGGGATCAAGTAGTTCTGGTGAGTAATAAAATGTGCAAAATTTTAGCTTTCTGGGTTATTGCTCTGACCTTTATACACTCCACTGTAGCCCTCTGCATCAAAGAAGTATGGGCGGCCTATAACCACCTGCATAAAGGTGTTGGATATGACTGGTTTGAAGCTTTCTGCGCTAAGCCAAATAAAGGTATTGCCCTGAAATTAGCTCATATGTTTATGCCTTCATGTATCCACAATTAATGGTTTCTAGTTTTCATCTCTAATTGACAGATTCTAGGGAGGGTAAATACCTACAAAGCTTGATAAATGTGATTAAAATTAAAAAGATGATATTAAACTAAGAGCATGTTTGGTTTAGCTTTCAAGTGTTTTAGCTTTTTGACACTATTCAGGTTTCATAAGTTTAAATTTCCCTCTTAAAAACTTGTATTTTTAAACTTTTTTTTTAACTTTAAAAAGATCTCAAACAGTAAAAGTTCAAAAGTTTCAAATCTAAGCATTTCATAAACTCCCTTTTTACTCACTTTTTATTATTTCTAAAAGTAGCTTTTAAATTTTTCCTCCAATAAAAATTTAAACTTATCACTCATGAATAGTACAAAAAAAGTAAAAGTTCTTACAAGCTAACTCAAACATGCTCTAAAACTATTTGTCGCTGTGGAGGTTGTACCATTCAGAAATTTAAATGGTTGTTGTGCATTAATGAATTTATTTTGTGACAAACAAGTTATTCTGCCCGTGCAGTTATTGACAATCATCTCAACCATAGATGATTTGAACTACCCAGAAAGGACAAATACATATTACATTGTAAATGCCCCATACGTATTCTCAGCTTGTTGGAAAGTAAGCCCCATTTGTTCCTTGCTGTTGAATCTCCTGATGTGCTATCTCACTGAATGCCCCACTCCTTTTTGGAATGGATGAAAGTAACCTTTGAACTCTTAGCAGGTTGTCAAGCCCCTTTTGCAGGAAAGGACAAGGAGAAAAATTCAGGTCTTGCCAGGTTCCGGCCGAGATGAACTGTTGAAGGTGAGGTGGTTTTCTCATAACATGTTAAAATATTGAAGACATGAACGAGAAGAATCCAGTCTCTAAAAATATTTGGTTGATTTATAGTCCTCAGAATATTCATTCCTTTTCCTTTCCTTCCCCTTTCAAAGACTGAAGGGGATCAATCCACCAACCTAAAATTTCCCATTTGTTGATTTTACCTTCTTCATCTGCTTTTTGGAACTAGGAAAGCTCATTACTTCCTAATAACTAACCTTGTGATTTTTGTATTGTTGTAGATAATGGATCTTGCATCACTTCCTCATTTTTGTAAAAAAGAAGGGTCGGGATCATCACACAATTCAGAGATTGACAATTGCTTCTCGTTGGACCACCCTTTCCATCAACAACTTTACAACTACATAAAGCAGCAATCATCGATCACTAAGCCGGTTCAACCTACCAAACAAGGTTCTTTTCATGTGGATCTGCCTGAGCCGGCTGCTGAAGGGACAGAGATTGTTAAAACCCTAGAGTCCGAATTCCACAAGTTTGAGAATCGGAATGGAAAGTCCACATCCCTTGAGAACCTCAAAATTAGCGATGACTAAACCTATTTGGCTGACCGGCGACTGCATTTTCTATGGCTCCTAGCCATTATTCTGTTCTCATATGTTACAATCATAATCTCTTACTTTCTCTAGAAAACGAATGTGTTTCTCCTAATTCTATCGTTACTTGTTATACAATATGAACAAATGTAGTAGTGACAACGTGCAATCTCTCCAGGTGAGTCTCTCTGGAAATGGTAGCTGGTACAAGTGTATGTTATGACATATCGGCTGGGTTATGAGCTAGAAGTTGAGCCCGCATGTCCCAGGAATACTGTCATGCTGTAGATGATTATTAGCATGGTTACCTGGTTCATTTGAAGGGAAATTATGGTGTCTAGCATGGATTTTAGGTTAAAACCCCATTTTGGGGTTCTTGAATTATTGTATGGACCATTGATTTAGTTATCAGACTAAAAAAATCTTTGATTTAGTTTATATTGTTTATCATTTTTACCTTGATTTGATCTTTTTGTTAAAAATCTTGGGACGTGGCTTGTTACTTCATGGTTACAAGATAACATGTCAAATATCAACACACATGAAAGACAATATAACAAAAAAGTGATGACATAAAAATAATAATAATATAAAAAATATTATGAAAAAAAAAACTTTAAAAATTCTTTTTTTTATTCTTTTTTTTTTTTCCCCTTCTCTTTCCCCTTGGATCCCAGGCGTGCTAGGTTCAAACGAACCTAGTGCCTGGGTTTGGTGGAACCCAGCATGCCTGGGTTCGAACGAACCCAGACGCTGGGTTCGGTGGAACCCAGGTGAAAATTTTTTTTTTTTTTCTACTTTTGTTTTTTGGATTTTGTTGTTTGATGGTGATGAAAAATTGATTGATGAAAATGAAGAAGGCAAGGTAAGGCAGTTGCTGGGTTTTTGCAAGTGTTGGGTTCGAAGCAAGTGCCTGTTGGGTTTAGTTTCAAACCTAGTAGTTGCTAGGTCGGTGGAACCCAACGGCTGCTAGGTTCAAGCAGTCGTTAGGTTCTGCAAGTGAGGTGTTGGGTTTCATTTTGAACCCTGCAACCGTTGGGTCAATGGATCTGTTGAGTTTGATTTGGTTATCGATTTGTTGTCTATGTGTTATCATTCTTGAGGTGTTGGGTTTGATTTTGAACCTAGCAGGTGATCAAACCCAACAAGCACTCGGTTTTGTTTCGAACCTAGTAGCTGTTGGGTCAAAGGATCCATTGAGTTCAATCTATTGATTTGTTGTGTTATCCTTGAATTTAATATTAAGAGATGTTAGGGTTTGCAAAAGGTGAAAGGAAAGGGAGAGGAAGAAGAAAGGGAAAAAGGAAAAACAAAGGAAAAAAAAACAAAAGAAAAAAGGAAAAAGAAATTTTTTAAGGTTTTTTCTTGCCATCTCATTTTTTTGCCATGTTGTACGTTGTACATCTTAGGTGTCAAAATGCTTTTACATGTCATCATTTTCTTGTCAAGTAATGGGACACATAGGTTGATATTTAAGGGAAGAATCAAATCGGGGTAAAATTGGTAAATAGTAAGGATCAAATCAGGGATTTTTTTAGTTTAGTGACTAAATTGGAGGTCTGTAAATAGTTTAGGGACCAAAATAAAGTTTTAACCTGAATTTTATTATGTTGTTGTCAGTTCAGATCGGTATGTCCGAATATCCTTTCATTCATTTTAACTAACAACAATCTTTTATTTCAGGACACAGCTGATGTCTCGTGTGTTTTCATATACATATGCTTTCTGGGTGGCCCCATCATCTGGTTTTGAGGCAGCCCTTAAATCTACATAGCAAATCCTCTCACTGGTGCAAGAATGGAAATCAGAATCCATGAATTCAAGACAGAATCACAGCACAAGAGGTAAATCCTCTCAAACTCTTTCCTCCAACAAGTGATTTAAGAAAATGGAAACTGCATCTACTCTTTCGTAAAATACAAAATCAGGCCTGGCCAAATCTGAAGAAAGTTTTCAGAAAGAGACAGATGACACAAGTAGCAAACTTTATAAATTTCAAGAAGAGTTCCTGAAGTGGCTCAAGCTACCACTTCTTGTTGACGCCACCTTCTAAGTTCGCCCTCGACTACCCTCTCCACTGCCTGTGCCATCTCCGCTGACTTCACAGCCATCTCTATTGCTTCATTGATCTCCTCTACTGCTTCCAAATTTGCCTCCAATTTTTTAGCCAGTTCTTCTGTGGTTCCATTGATTGCTTCCAGCTCTGCCATGGCAGTTTCAACTTTCTTGTTAGCTTCAGGCCCAGATTCATCGACTTTCTTCTTCAAAGACTCAAATTCCTCCACTGATATCCTAATCTTCCCACCAGATTCTTTGTTGGCACTCCTCTCTCTCTCCGATAAAGCCTTCATTTCGTCTACAGCCTTCTTCTCCATTTCTTTTCCCTCTACCACCTCTTTCAAAGCAATTTCAAGCTTTTTCTCAGCTTCCTCTGCCACTCTTTGCGCAGTCTCAGCTTCTTGCTTTAGCTCTTGAACTTTTTTGTTCATCTTTTCTGTTTCCCGTTTTGTTTTTCCAATTTCTGAAAATAGCTTCTCAAGTTTCATGGTGTCCTCTTGCGTCTTTTTCTTTTGTTCTTCTTCCAAAATGGAGTCTCTTTCTGCTTCCTTCTTGACTTCAGCTTGCTCCCTCTTAACATCTTCCAATTCCATCCTGAGGGAACATACCAAGGTCCGAAGAGAGCATTCTTCCTCTGCAATGTGTTGCAATGTCCTGGTAGCTTCATTCAGCTCCGTGGTTATAATCCTTACGGAATCCATTTCAGAAGCATGAGCCTTCTTCATCTCTACTTGTAAAAACTCAACCTCTTCCGTTGTTGTTGCTAGTTTGAGCTCCAGATTTCTAATCAGCTCTGAATCGTATTCTTTCTTCAAGGCTAGCAATTTTTCGTTCGCGTCCTCCGTAACATTCTTATAAGATTGTTCCATGGCATTTTTAGCTTCCAGGATTTCTGCCTGCTGTTGCAGTGCTTCCTGAGTGACAAACTTCAGTTGTTCTATTGCTTCTTTCATAGCTGAGATTTCCTTCGAAAGCTCTGCAGCCCTATCAGAATGTACTTTGGCAGCGCGCTGCGCTTCTATTGCCTGCTGGAATGCGGTCAATTTGGCCTCCAAGGCTGCATCAAAATCCTGCCTGATCTTGTTGAGTTCTTGCTTTCCAGCATCGAGGTTGGTTGCACTATTGATGTACAACTCTCTTGCATCCTCCAGCTCCTGTTTCCGAACACTGCATTCTAAATGTTTCTTGGATTTGGCCTTTTCAAGTTGTTTGGCCTGTTCCTTGACAGCTTCTGTGGCTTTAATTGCCATTTCCTTGGCTTCCCTTACGGTTTTGAGTTTAGCGGTAAGATCCTGCAGAGTTCTCTTAGACCTTTCTAGCTCGGTCCGTACTTTAGTTTTTGTAGTTTCAGCACCCTCCAGCTTCTGCTTGATATGGTTGAGCTCCTTCTGCGCCAACAGAAGCTGTGTTTCCTTGTCAATCACATTCTGTCCAAAAACAGAAACAGGGTTAGCATTGCATTATTTTTATCACGGGCAGGTACCGCTTTGATGTTGATTAAATGAAAATACCTCTGAGGAGAGTTTGGATTTCCTAAGAGTAGGTTTCTCCCTGGAAACAGCCACTTCACCGAACAAACTAACAGCAGCTTTAACAGATTGAAAGGGTGCTCTAGTATCAATCTCTCCTACCTCAACCTTTGGAGAAGTGCCAGGCATGCGATCACTGTTTGCACGCCTGATGTTCACCATCTTCATCGAAATTCACCTGTAACGTTGAAGTTAATTATTTCAATTAGAATCCATGTAAATGGTACTAACGTAAATGACATCAAATCCCAGGCCAATCAGGACACACAAATAAATAAAATTCGTGATAAAATATGATAAACCTGTAGTAGTGAATACGTTTGTAAAAAATGATCCAGAAGCTGAAGGGAGAGGAGACGACGAATTCAGAGATGAAGCAGCAGAACAAAAAAAAGGGGGCTGGCTTTTGTAATGCTTCTTGTAATGTATTGAATTTTGAATAAGAATAAGAATAGCCCCAAATGAAATGTTAGTTTTGTGTGCTAATTTGAAGGGGGAGACACCAACATTTGCGGGAATTTTAACGGTCAAATATGCACAAAGCACCCTCACAGGAAAATACCACTCAAATTGGCCGGCCCATTGGACTTCATTTTTTTTTTTTCTTTTCTTTTTCTCCTCTTGGTGTCCATCCAAAATTTAGCTAACAATCTAAATTTGGCTGTTAGATAGTTCTGGTCGTTGAGTATCGGTACGTCTCTATTTGTAACCACAAGTCACATTATGTACATCTATATCATGCAAATGAAGGGGAAATCGAACTACCATGCTGACATTTTTATTATCATTTAATATCAGCAGGATCGATCGGTAGCTCAATGGTGGGGCCTTGGAGGTTCATCATCACAAGATTAGGAATTGAATTACGAGGATGAAACTCACTCCTCAATCATTTTCGCGTAGGAAAAATTCTGAAACAGTTTGTGAGACGACTTTTTTTTGTTCGAATTATTAGCTTCTCATATTTGGGGTTAGTGAGGTTTATATAAATATAAATATATATATATCTTGAATTATATAATAAAAAAAAATTATTTTTCATATCTTAAGTCATTTTACTCACATGCTATATGACCCAAATTTAACACCTCTTGTTGACAAGAGTTACTTCCAAAGAAATAAATATTGAATATTAATGCATTAACTAGGGACAGAGCTAGAAAATATCTTAGGGCGGTGAAGTGTTATTTGAAAGATATATGCTAAAAATAAATTTCTTGACATGTAATTTTAAATAAGATTAAGGTCTAAAATATACAAAAATTAAAAATTAAAAAACCTTAAATATAGAAAAATTTGTTAAAATTTATGTGTATTTAAATTTCAATTTAAAATACAACTTCTATTACAAAATATTATTAATATGATCCGAATGGTAAAACTAAATGTTCTAAAGAATTGATAATATTAATTTTAAATCAATTTTATTTTGTTATTTGATACAAATAGTCATTCATTATATATATATATATATATTACAATGACAAATATGTCAAATAAATAAAAATATTTTATTAAATTTATTTTACTTGTCAAATGGTTAGTAATTTATCATAAGATTTATAAAAAAAATAAAAATTAGAATACCACATTTTATTTTATTTTTCAAAAATGGCTTATTTAATTTTTTTTTTAAAAGTCTAAGACATATTTACTTTTTTTCAAAAGTGTAGGGGGGGCGAGGGCCCCCCTTGCACCCCCTGCCCCGTCCCTGACATTAACATCACTTCATTAAATGCATTAGTCATGCAAAATAATATAATGATGAGAATGGTGTAAAACTCATGAGAATTATGATTAATTAAACACAAAAAATAATTAATCTTAATTATTTGAACAATCTTAAAGAAAGAAACTTTGATTAAAAATACTAAAAATAAAATTACAAGTAAAATAAATGTAGCAAAGATATGAGGTATTAAGGCATCTGACTTCACCATAATTAATCAACATAAATTTTAGATTATTATACTTTTAAGATGTTACTATTTATATGACGGTAAAATTTCTTTTCCAATTTGATATACTTATGTAATACTGAAGGACGCTGATACGGACACATTTCGGACCAACACCCATATCAACACATTCTGGTTCAATTTTTAAAATATAATTTTGTCGTTGGAGTTTACATATCCATGGCTTATCTTGGATACCTTATGTTGAAATCCCTATGATTTCATGAAAATCAACCCAGATCCAGGCGCTCTTGAATCGGCTTTCGTTTAACCCTGCATCATCCTAATTTGGATTTATATTTTATTTTCCCTGTAATTTGATTATTTACCCAAACATCATCTATATTAGCATCCGGTTCCTCACCCAGATTAGCACAGTAGAAATAACAAAACACCAAAGCCATAACTTTAACAAAATAGTCTAAATCCCAAAGCACCAAAGCCATAACTTTAACAATAACAAAAGCTAAAAGGGTGAACCTGGATCTGGGTTCTTCTAGAGAACCTGGAACTGGGTTCCCCAGGGGAATGTCGAAACTAGGTTCCCCAGGAGAACCCCAAAATTGGGTTCCCCAGGAGAACCTCGAAATTGGGTTCTCAAGAGAACCCAAACTTGGGTTGTCCAAAATGGGGAAGAGAAGGAAGAAGGGGGAAGGTGAGGGAAAGAAGAAGAAAAAGAAAGGAGGAGAAGGGAAAAGAAGGAAGAAACCATGGGCAAAACAAAGTCTTCTCATTCCCAATCTCAGAGTGCTTTCTTCCTCACCTTTCCTTTCATTTGTTTGTTTAATTTCATATTACGAACATTTTATTAGAGCAGAGGAGATGTTTGGAAACAAATTTTAGTTGTTCGCTTTTAATTCAAACTGTTGAATATTAATATTTTAAGGTTGTGTGTTGATTTGGGTGAATGAACCGAGTGTGTCCATGTCATTACCCAATACTGAAACTATCTTCACCAATTAACATTTTATATCTCTTCATGAATTTAAATAGATAAAAATACATTATATTTTTTGAATTTCTTAGTTTACATAGAAAATTTAATTCATTTATCACTAATGCTGCATAAATCACATTAATCTACATATGGCTTTTGTTCAATTATACTGTCTAAATCAATTTTAATGATAACCAAGCATTAAACTTTATTAAGAATAATAATAGACATTCATCATAAGATAATAATCTCAAAAACATAAAAACCATGAAAACCTAGATCAAATTGATTAGGTTGCATTGTAGCCTTAATTGGTTAAATTAGCCAATAATAAAATATTAAAACTTGAAATCATAGTCATAAAATTAAGTAAAATCTTATAAAAACTCATCTAGTTATCAATAATATCAAGGAAAAAATTCCATAAAAATATATATAAAATTTCAACTAATCAAATACACTAGCATAAGTTAAACAAAGAATTAAAACAACAAATAAAGATAAGTAGGAAATATTGGAAGAATTGAAAGTTATTATTATTAATGTTTTACATATTTTTGAGATGTCAAAGAAATAACTTGAAATATTCTTAATTATATGTAATAAAGATTCTTAATTAAAATAGATTATAATAAATCATTATATATGATTTTGTACAATCTCTCTCTCTCTCTCTCTTTTTTAATTATATATTATATAACGGCCAGTTGCCATCATCATCCTACTTTTGCATATGTCTTCACGCTCATGGTGCAGCTGTTTAGGAAGGAAAATGATATATAAGAGAGAATCATATGAGGGAGGCACCATATAGGGTAGCAGAAGAGAGATCAATGATTTTCTCAATCTTAAGCCTGTTTGATTTTATTATTAAGAACAATTAATTAAGAACGGATTCTTACGATCATAGGGCTAGTCCCCTTAAAGTTTTGGGAAAAATTAATATATATGATATATGATATATTTTGTTTTTAAGTATAGTTTTCATATTTATTTCATTACCAAAGAAAGAAACAATTACTGTTTTCTTTGTAACGATCACTGTTTTCTTTGCAGTACTATAATTAGTTTGTCTTCTTTGTAGTACTAAAATTAATTAATTTGTATTTAGATCATAATTTAGTAATTAATAGCAGCATGATTGAAAGAGGTTTGAATTTCTAAGTCTTGGGATAAATGAGTTATAGAATATTAGCGCGCAGCAAAGTTACAGTAACATGGGCTGCACGAAATGGAGCTGCACATGGGCTGCAAGAATGTTGATTATTATTATTATTATTTTAAGAGTAGAGAGAGGGCTTGGGGGAGAAGGAGAGACACACGGAGTTCCTTCTCTGATTGAGGTGAAAACCAACGATTCCTTGTATTGATGTTCTGCTATTAATATATAGCAGAAAAACAGTACAACATCAAATAGTATTTTTCGATCACTTAATGTTCACTTAATGCATGCTCTGAGTTTAAATTTAGGAAAAATAATATAACGGAGGCAAGTCCACTTTAGCTTGACTTGTAATATACAGTAAGCAGTACAGCATCGGCATGGCCCATCGCTAGTATATACCCGTATTTAATAGTAGGAATCAGAGCTGATCGTAGAAAGAGGGGGAAGAGATAGGCAAGGGGAAAAGATGGAAAAGCATGATTATCTTCCCCTTTTTGAAACAAAACCGATGAAGGGGCGTCTCCTCTTTCGGCTATATACAGCCTCGGTCTTCCTTGGTATTTGCTTCATCTGTGCTTTCAGAGTGACTCACTTTCCAACGGAAGGTAAAGTTGAAAGATGGGGTTGGATTGGATTGATTGTGGCAGAGCTATGGTTCTCTTTTTACGGCTTTCTCACTATTGTTGTAAGATGGAATCCTGTCAGCCGTCGAACTTTCAAAGATAGGCTCTCCCACAGGTACGCAGACATAATATATATATCTGTGCTCTTCAGATTTTTCCTTTATAACGTTTGACCATGGATTATATAACAAAAAATATATAGTTTTTGATCCCTTTCCCGAACCCCTTGTTACTCTTTTAAGATTCAATTAATTATATAAATTGGAGTTCATCTCAAGATTTTAACTATTGAAATGTCACCTAACTAAGGGATAATGGAAATCTTTCTTATCATTAACAATGGATTAAATAAAAGTTTAAAATTAGTGAATAGGTTGAATTTAACGACTCTCTTGCTGGAATGTGTGTATAGGTATGAGAAGAATTTGCCAGGCGTTGACATATTCATATGCACGGCTGATCCTACGGCAGAACCACCAAGTTTGGTGATCAACACAGCTTTATCACTGATGGCTTATGACTATCCACCAGACAAACTGAATATATATTTGTCAGATGATGGTGGATCGGAGTTAACGTTTTACGCCATGCTAGAGGCTTCAAGGTTCTGCAAGATATGGTTACCCTTTTGCAGGAAGTTCAAGGTAGAGCCAAGATCACCGGAGGTTTATTTTGGGTCTGCCGTTGAGCCGCTGGATGATCCTCTCAACTACAAGGAGTGGCTGTCCGTCAAAGTAAGTTATGCTTTCTTTGCTAGATTATTCATCCCGAAAAAGTGAAAATGTATTTTAGTCAG